GCCTTCCCCCCTGGAACACGGCTCCCCGCACCTGAAAGACCAAGCTGTCACCTAACGTTTAAAGCCCAGCCTTCTCGAAGCCAGTCTGACGGTGTGTGCTGTAAGCCTTTGACCCAGGAATTTCCCTTCCAGCATGTCCTTGGGGTACCTTCAGGGATTCTGATCTGTGTGTGAGGCTGTTCACTCAAGCTTTATTTTCAGCCCTGCAACACTGGACCCAACCTAATTGTCCAACAACAGGGGACGGGTCAAACGGATTATGGCACTGACACCCACCCAGCCAGAGATGTCAGGCAGCGGTGAAAAACGCCTTCTTTGGAAGAAAATCGAATGATCCAGGAGAATGCTGAGGCCGTAATATGGAGTGGGAAAGGCAGAACAGAGCCGCGTGTCCAGTCCATCTTACTTGGGAGGAGGCAGTCTACCCATATGTGGAGACAAGTGGCTGGAAGACAGATAAGCCAGGACGTTGGTGGTGGTCTGTCTGCGTCTCAGACTGGGGTTCTCAGTTAGGGGGCGTCTGGCAGTGTTGGGGGACTCTGTGGTTGTCACTGCTGGGGAGGGGGTGCTGCTGGCACCCGGGCAGTGGGGGCCGGGGATGTTAGCCAGCACCCCACAAGTCGCAGGATGTCCCCACAACGAAGAAGTACCTAGCTAGGAAAAATGCCTGGGGCAGAGGTTGAGACATCTTAGTCTGAGGTGATTTTTTTAAAATATACTTTTTAGTATTTTTAAAATGTAAAAGTTTACTTTTCCAGAAAGCACATACAGTGAGCATTCTAAAGCAAGGAGTTAGAGGCGAGGTGCTGGTCCCGGGCACACAGGGAAGGGCAGCTCTGGAGAACCAGGCCTGGGCGCTGCTTCAGGACGGGCGGGCTCCAGTGTGTTCTGTATAGACGATAAGGTCGAGAGGGTGCGGCACCGTCCAAGTGACCAAAATAAACAGTGCAGGACGCAGAGAGAGCAAAGCCGCGTTCGTTCACCGCTTCCCAGAGCTGTAAGGTACAGTGTTATTCTTTTATACTGTCAAAGGGTCTGTGAGCTGCGGAGCTGCCTGACCACAGAGGCGCCAGAGGCCAACCATAGAGACAGGTTAAGCAGGGTTGGCGTTTACGGAGCGCGCTGGCAAATGGTCCCCGGAGTATATACGGCACACTTGAGCGTGCGTGGTATTTACTCCCGCTGCCCCAGGCTGCCGGCTGTAACTAATGGCAGTTATCACCTGATAGTATTTAAAGAATGAATGAGTGAATGAATGAACACATGGCCATTGGAGATGCAGGGTCGGGGGTGGGTTAAGCACCTTTCTTTCTCTGTTACCAGCTAGCTGCCCCTCCTTGAGCAAACTAATCAGGAAAATTAGGATGTTGGGCAGGTGGGGGTCGTGTCTAATCTTCATGGAAACCAGGAGTGTGTCTATGCCGTCATGGGTGGGGTCTGATGGCTGGGTGCCCAGGAGCCCTGGGGTCGCCTGCCCTTCCCCTCCTTCTCCAGCTCTGGGAGACCTGACAGCTGGGCACAGGTGGTGGTGGTAATCTAGTGCCACCCAGTGGAGCTTTGCAAGTCTGCAGCCCTGGGGCGGGTTGCAGCCCTGCCTGGGTATTGGATATGTGGGGCCCACCTGTTTGGAGGTTGGGGGAATCATAGGCTGACAGTCTTGCTGGCCTCTGCGGAGACACGTTCTAGGCTGTCACTTGCCTGCCTGCCTGCCTGCGGCTAGGGTGGTGGGAGCCCTCTTTGATCCCTGCACACGTACAGGGTGGACAAGGAACCTTCCCATCAGAGCCCAGGCCCTTTTGTGACCCACCTTTCAACTGTTCCAGCTTCCATGAGCTGCCCCCCCCAAGGAAGGCTGTCTTTAGACGCAAGATAGAGGAAAGGGAACAGGACTAAGAGCTTGAAAACTTAAGGGACTCATTGGAGAAGGGAGCTCTAGATGGAGAAGGAGGTAAGATTCTGAGAGCTCATTTGCTTCATGGGGCTCCCCCTTCCCTCCTTAGTAAATATCACATGTTCTATAGAGCATCTCCGTCTTTGCTAGGCACCGAGTCATAGACAGTATAGCCCCTGTCTTGATGGAGGATAATAGCTGGTCCTGGAGAAAGACTGGAGATAAAGGATTATTTCATTTTGTCAGTGACAGGGCTGGAGGAAGTGTGTGCTCTGAGGACCTGACCAGGTGGTGATGGAAATGTCGGGGATGGACTCTTTAAGAAAAGCTAAGACTGGAAAGATGAGCCAAGGTTTAACTTGGTAAAGAGGTGGTGGTAGGGGAACAGCATTCCAAGTGGAGGGAACAGCATATATGGATGCCTGGAGGCAGGGCAGAGAACAGTGATTTCACAGAACCCAGAGAGGCCGAGTAGAGCTGTGGTTTACTCTATTAGCTGGTGTAGGGAGGATGGAAGAGGTGACTGGAGGAGTCCTCAAGGCCTGCTGGGAGCCATGGAGGGGTTTCACGCTGGATCCCACCTGCTGAGAATGTGGGACCCGGATTATTCACAGAGAAAGGAGACAGGGCTGAGAAGTCATGTGGACCAAGGGCTCACTGGATCGGCCGGGAGTGACCCACTGCAAGTCCACCTGGCACTGCCTTGTGTGTCCCCACAGTCTGTCGGTCCTCACAGTGACAGCATAGCAGCCCAGGCAAGGCTAGGAAACCAGGCTGGGGAGGGAGCTCAAAAAAAAGAGGAGGAGAAAAAAGCTTCTAGAATCAGGAACGGGAAATTTAAAAAAACTAACTTTGGTCATGGATATCTGCAAACATATATGAAAGCAGAAGGAATATTATAATAAAGTGCTATGGACCAGTCACTGAACTTCAGCAATTATTCTGCTGGTCTTGTTTCATTTATATTCCCGTCTCCTCTCCCTCCCCTCCCCCACCCCCTCACTGGATTCCTTTAAAGCAAATTCATCACGTATTGTTTTAACTGTAAATATTTCAGAACATATCCCTAAGGATGAAGACATAACCACAGTACCATTAGCACACTTTACGAAAACATGAACTCAATAGATCATCTAATACGTACGTGTGTAAGCCGTGTTTATGCTCCCCAGTTGTCCCCAGAATATCTTTCATAGCTGCTCTTCTCCGCAGCCCAGACTCCAGTTTTACACGTGGATGCATCAGTTGCTCTCTCTCGCTCTCTTTAGTTTCTCTTTTAAGAACAGCTTTGTGGAGATGTAACTCATACAGCGTGCAGTTCACCCGTTTAAAATCGCATAGCGCAGAGGTTTTTAGTCTAGTCTCAGAGTTGTGCATCGAGCATCAAAATCAATTTCAGAACGTTTCCATCACCCCCAGAAGAGTCCCCCTAAGCCTTAGGCGACCACAGATGCACTTTCTGTGTCCATGTTCGCCTATTCTGGACGTTTCACGCACGTGGGATCATGTCATACGTGGTCTTTGTGTGTGTCTGGTTACCATTTCATCCAGATTCTCGCTTTGTTTCGTCTCTTTTCATCTAGACTGTATTTCCTGCACATTTGTTCTTTTGTCTTTCCTCACTCTGACTCTTTTAGGGGAGAGTGCAGGTCAGTTGTCTGGTAGAATGACCTACGTTCTTGACTTGGCTGTTCCCTTTTGCTTGGGCTCAGGTTCAGCAGCTTTGGGGGCCTGTGGAATACTTTCCACTGCAGCCGTCAGGAGACACAGTCCCGGGTTGTCAGTGCTTTGTGCATGCGGGGACCCCCCGAGTTCTCCCTGGCATGGGCACATTTTCCCTTCCGGATGTGTCAGTAGCCTCTGGGGTGGCAGGGTGAGGCCGCATACACATTCTGCTCCGGAACGACCTTTTCACTCAGAGCTCCAAGCATCCCTGATGATCGTGACCCGAGTCTCTTGATACTGGGGTTCGCAAATGGTGACTTTTGAAGTCCTTATACATACTTTAATTGGTGTTCTGTAAGGAAATACGGCCCTCCCTCCCCCTCCATCTTTTGGAGTTAATATTTGAGGTCATTATTCATACTCACGCTCAGATGGTCCCAAGTTTGGCTTGTGGGAGCCCCCTTGAGCTGCCATCTGTGGCGTCATTCTTTGAACACTGTCTTACCTCCAAGCCCAGTAGGTGTTCCAGGTCCGCCTGGCACTGGGAATTAGCCGTTTCTCCAAGGAGCCCGTAAGGTCCCTTTTAGCTGGACAGTCAGAGATGTCAGTCCTCATTAGTCAGCCAGGGGAGGCCTGGGTGGGGCCGAGGGGCTGAGGGCACCGTAAGCAGGGACTCCTCAGAGCTCCCCGCTTTGCCTGACGAGCAGTTGGGTTCCTGAGGCTCAGCCTGCCGGGTGGTCCAGGCTGTGCTGGCCCCGGGACGGGGCTGCTGGTTCCCTGAGTCTTGCTGGGGAGCCCCTTTGTGCTTTTTTCTGGGCCTTTCTCTGTAAAGTCCCAACAGCCACTCCCTTCCATTTCACTAGAGACAGAATAAGGCCATGAGTCCCAGAACACCCACACGAGTGATGCCACCACAGTGCCTGCTCCCAGCTCGACATGGGACTCGGGACAGGAGTGGGCACCCCATATCTGCTCAGGGACCCTTTTGAGTCCTTAATGTAATAACGCTGATTGTGGGACAACAAAGACTCAGAACTGAAGTCCCCTTTATGACCAATGTGGCGTGTTCACCTGGCAGTCCTTAATGTTTCATGCCAGGAGCCCCCTAGGTCCGGGGCAAGATGCTGAGGACCTGTGGGGTTGGTGGTACTTGGGATGGTGATTTTCTTGCTGGCAAAGGGAAGACATCAAAAACCAACCCAAAGTCTGAATGGAAGCCAGAACGCAGCCTCCCTGCTCCCGGGGTCGGGAGGGGGCCCAGGCACGGAGGTGGCCCAGCACCCCTGCCCACAGTGCTCGTGGTAGAGGGCGTGGTATGTTGGACCTGGGCAATTCGGAATAAGATGTCATGTTCTGAATCCTCAGTGCCAGGAGGTGGTCTGCGATCTGCCTTAACTCTGTGCTCCCGGGTGGATTCTGTGGGTTCAGGCAGCATGCGGCGCATGGAACCGCTTACCAGCAGAGGGCAGCTGAGGGGTTAACTCCCCCAGCCACAGCGGGGAGAAGAGGAGGCAGACCTGGTTTGGAGCAGTTTCCTGCGAGCCTGTGCTGGAGGCTTCCTCCAATTTGCCTTCAAGCTGGGGCGCGAGAGACTCCTGCCTGCCTTCTCCCAGAATATGGTGACTTAGGGGGTTAACGGAGCATCCCCGAACTTCCCTGGCAAGGGGCTTTTAACCAGTCCCTCCATCTTCAGGGAAACTGAATGAAAGAGAGGATGTCCAATATGGAGAGCAGCTTTGACGATGTTTCTTGCCTCTCTCCCCAGAACCTGGGATCCTCGTCACCAGGCAAAAAGCAGAGCAAGGAAAACACCATCACGGTAAGCAGCTCCCGCGGAGCGCTCGCAGGTTGGGTGGCAGAATGGGGCTGTGGACCACGGCTGGGCTGTTGCCATGGCAATGCAGACCGAGGAGTGGAAGCGATGCCCAGCCTGTAATCTGGGAAGTTCCAAAGCTTGGATGTAGCTGAAGTTTGCCCCCTGCCTCCTCCAACCAGCCCTTTGATTTCCCATTTCACTTTTTCTCTCTGGGCAAACAGGTGGAAGGATGGAGGTTGGAATCATGCAGAAGCCATTTTTGCGGGGCGGGCAGGGTAAGGAACGCATACAGGAGTGGGTTGGAGGGGGTGGACTGTGCTCTGAGCAAGTGACGTGACATGTAAATTACAGCCACGGCAGGGTGGCTTTTGTGCGGGGTAACTTCTGGAAGACGTCAAAGTTAACAGCAAGAGAATGCACCCTAAGAATAGAGTTCCTGGGAGTTCCTGACGGGAAGCAGGCAGCCTCTGCCTGGAGTGGCCAGATTGCCTCCCAGGGCCCTTCCACAGCCCGCCAGGCCCCCATCCCTGGCCCCAGGTCAGCCCCGTGCTCCTGAGGGAAAGTGGGCACTGGACGTCAGTGCCCCTCCAGGTAGAGAAACGACTTGCCCAGCTGCTCAAACAGCCAAGAACTTGGAGATGTGAGACGTGTGGTTCTAGGCTTGCGGTTTTGACCCAAGTCTGCAGAGCTGGGGACGGGGAGTCGCTGGCTCAGTCTCCGTCACACACTTCTGGCCATGCTGCTGACCCCCAGGGAGATGTAACTAAGAGTGGGTCCCCCGCCTGGGCTCCTGCAGGCAGAAAGTCCTGCTAGGGAGGAAGAAGAGCATTGGGCAAACAGTGGCAATAATAATTGCTGCCACCGCGTGTGCATTTATGGTGCGCCAGTGCAGGTGGCAGGACCAAGGCAGTGTGGTGACTGTGAACCTGGACTCTGAAGCCAGTGCCAGTCACAGCACCTACCAGCTGGGCAGCAGCCCAGGGCAAGGTTCCCGGTCTCTCAGTGTCCACATCTGTACAATGGGGTGACGGTGAGGCGTGCATGTCACAGGAATGGTGTATGGACTGAGTGAGTCTCAACGTGGAAAGCACTTAGCACTTAGCCTGGCACATGGTAAATGCTCAGTTCGCGCTGGTCCCCTCATCACCCTGTTTACAGATGAGGGAACTGAGGCTCAGAGCAGTGCCTCACCCACACTCTCACAGCTGGAAAGCATAGGGGTTTGAGACCCATGCTCTGACCCACCAGCAGTGTCCCCGGTGGAGGGCAGGACCGGGTCGCTCAGCCCGCGTGGACCCGGGCCAGGGACAGCTCCCTTGGTACCGGAGCTGATGGCCAGGCAGGGCGTGGACAGGTTCACAGGGCAGACCTCCCGAGAGCACAGTCCCCATCATCACAAAAAGCCCCAGAGGGCTGGGGCAAAGCAGGAGTTCCCACAGGTTCCTGAAAAGAGGGAGGAAAAAGTCTAAGAGAGGGGATATATTAGCATCATAGAAGAAAAGTGAATCCAATAGATTGAAAAGCAGTGTCTTATGCCTCCCAGAGTTGCTTAAAAGACCTTTGGGGATGGTGCCCAGCTCACCGGGAGTGGCCCGAGTCACCTGCTCTGGTCTGCCTTCCAGCCAGAGCTTGGGGCTTTCTCATAGTGGGCCCGCGTCTCCTGGCAACACATCTGGTCCATCCCTGCCTCACCGCCTTCCTGCCTCCTTCCCGCTGCCCTAAATCAGTGCTCCTTACAAGGTAGCCTGCAAATTGGTTGGCATCTGACGCCTCTGGGATGCTTATTTAAGATGCAGGTTCCTCGGTGGAATCCTGGACCTACAGTTGGTCTCTCTGGGGCCAGGCTGGGAACTTTGCATTGTAACCAACACTCCTAGAGGCTTTAAATAAACACTTGAGCCTCGGGGAATTTTTGCTGGGGAAACTGAGGGAGAGGCACAGGGTGAGTGAGGAGCAGAGCCCTGGACTCGAACCCAGGGCTGCCGGCTGCCAGCCGGTGGGGCTGAAGACCTCTGAGCCGCTGCTCTGTCCCTTCCACGGAGCCCTTGCTCTCCCTATGCCGGCCCCTTGCCCTGAGTCCTGACCCTCCAGAGCGCATGGTTGCCCTAGGAGGAGACCCTGCAGGGGAGGAGGCCAGGGCCCAAGCTCCGCTCTCCCCGTGCATCTCCTTAGGCAGTCTGACCCATGGAGCGGAAACTTTGCAGGCCTGCGTGGCGATGGGTGATGCAGCTAGATATCTGAGTCTGGCCGGCAGTGCAGTCAAGAAGCTCCCCAACTGACCTGGGCCAGGAGCAAGTTTTGAAAAGGCAGACACGTGGGCTTCTTGGCAGTGTCGGGGCCTCCCCCCGGGCAGGGCTGCTGTGAGCGGGCTTGATTGGGAGTGACGGGCACTCACGGCAGGTTCCAGCCCTCGGCACAAACGTGATGCATCAGAAGCTGGAGGATTCCAGAAAGAATGGTAGACAGTAAGGCCACCCAGCCATGCTCCTGTCATAGAAAGAGGGATCTGGCTTTTGCCTCTGCCACACTCTCCCAGGTTAGCTTCCTGCCAGGAGGACATATGCAAAGTGCTGGAAAGATCTAGCCTAGTGCGTGGCCCCAAGTAGCCATTCAACAAATGTTTGCATGGACTGTGGACAAGCACGTGTTCCATTGCACAGCATCGTGGTTGAGTGCTTGAGCTCTGCAGTCAGCCCAGTCTGGGTGCAGATACTTCTATGATCCTCAGGTAATAAAATGAGGCCAATGTGACCCAGCTCGTGGGGTTGCCAGGAAGATGAAGTGAGAATGCACCTAAAGCTCTTGGCAGGAATTCTCCCAGGAATCCCACAATGGGGCCAATGAGGTGCAGTCCTCGAGATGCCCACCAGGGGGTGCAGGGCTCTGGGAGGATTCAGGGAAACTGTGGTGGGATTGCTGGGTGTGAGAAACCCCAAAACCAGAGTTGACAGGGGTGGGGACAGGCACCCGGGGGGGGGGGAGGTGCACTGGCCAGTCCATCCAAGGACTGGTGTCCTCAGAGAGGGGGCAGAAGCCACAAGAGGGATGAGGCCTTACCCTCCCCTAACCCCTCTCCCCCACCCCCAATCTCTCTCCTCCAGTGGTTGTTACAGGGCCACTTGTGGGGACCCCCCCTCAACACACACACAGCCCAACCTTCTAGACCCCGGCCAGGGCACTCTAGAAGACCTTTATACCCACTGCTGGGCACCTTCAACCTCCCGCTTCCATGGTTCTTAATGCCCAGTGTAATGTCGTAGTTAATTTTTCATTAAATTTGCTTGAAATTTTCATGGACCACATTATTAAGCAAAATAAAGATGGGCTGTGACCATTGTTACTGTTGAAACAGAATAGGAAATAAGGAACATGTGAAACTTTGGACTCCAGCTCTGGTTTCCAGAAGGAAACCCACCTCTGGACACACTTTGGGCTGTCAGCCCCAAAAAGAGGGTGTGGGGAGACCATTGTCTGAGCTGGGCACTGGGAGGCTGGCCCTCCCCCGAGCAGGTTCCTGCAGGCCGGTGACACCTCAGGTGGCTGCAGGTGTGGCATTGGGAGAAGACTCCCCAGCCTGGCTGGGGTTGCAGGGGTCCCTCCCGCCTCCACCCTGACCTTGCTAAAACTCCACGCTCCCCATCTCCAGGGATCTCTGGGTCATTCCTGCCCCTGCTGCTTCCCTCCAGAGCGGGAATCTCCGCCCTCACGTCGGCTGGGTGTCAGTGTCTGGGAGGCGGGGGCTCTTTGCTCGGCTGGGACTTCTCCTGTGTTCTCCCCTCAGGACCACAAGTGAGGCCTGTGCCCCTGAGAGCCAAGGGGCCTAGATTTACCTCCAGCTGCCCTGAGCCCCCGAACCAGAGACCGTGGCTGGGGGCCCGTGGGCCCGACTCAGCCGACAGAGGGGTTGGTTTGGCTCGCACGGTGTTGATGACGATGACAAACCTTGAATTAATTGCCAGCATTTAAACACAGAGACACTTCCTACAAAAAGCCCGATTCTCAGCATCTGTCAAATTATCATGTCAGCTGACAACCCTGGACTCCTCGTTCCGGCTTGACAGCAGTTGGTGGGAGCTGAAGGGGATCAGGCCCCTGGATAGACCTTCACAGGCTCCATCCGCCACCCCCTCCTTCCCAAAGCGGAGGCTGGTCACCCCTCAACTCGAGCTGCAGCTTCCGTGACGTCCGGCACCTCCTTGTTTGTGTGGCTGCCAGGCATCGGAGTCCGCAGCTTCTGTTCAAAACCTCGGGGATTTTCTGCACTGTTCTTGCCTTGAACATCTGACGGCTCCCATGTTGGCAGGTGCTGGGGCTGCAATGAGTGTTAAAGACTGACAGGGCTCAGGCTTTGCCTTCCTGAGGCCCGCGGCTCCCAAAACAAGTTAGCCGGCTCCCCTTGGAGTGGATCTGGGGCTTGAAGCAACATACGTGGGGTCAGTGGCAAAGCCACGTCCACCGAAGGGATAGACTGGGATTTCAAAATTGTAGAACAGATAAACAAGATTACACTGTATAGCACAGGGAAATATACACAAAATGTTATGATAAATCACAGAGAAAAAAATGTGACAATGAGTGTGTATGTGTCCATGAATGACTGAAAAATTGTGCTGAACACTGGAATTTGACACAACACTGTAAAATGATTATGAATCAATAAAAAATGTAAAAAAAAAAAAAAGCCACGTCCACCGAGCAGGGAAGCCAGGGCATCGTCAACATGCTCAGGCAGGAAAGGCTGAGACAGAGCCCAGGAGCCCCTGCACTGCCCTCTCCTGGGCTCGGGCCAGCCCCGGGCACGCACCCTGGAGTAGAATTCAAACTCCCCTTGTTCCTAGAATATATATTGTGAGATAAAATTCACAAGGCAGCCTCTCACCCAGGATGCTCAGCCACTTAATTCCTTTCCCTGGAAGCAAATGAAAATGTTGCCAGTTTCCAGAAATAAACCAACTGTGTATCTTTTCCTTCCTCCTTTTTTTCTTACACTAAGGTAGCAAACAGGAAATACTGTTGTACATCTTGCTCCTCCGCCACCCACCCACCATATCAGCACGTAAGAACGTGCTCACATCTTTCAGCACAGATGCCGTTCCCGTTAGTGTCCGCCTCACACTTTTGAACCATTCACCTGTTAATGGACAGTGGAGTCGGGGTCCAGTCTTTGCTACAGATCGAGCCGTGGTGAAGACCGCGTACCGCGTACGTGTTGCCACACCCAGAGGCCAGAGTCTCAGAAGGGCAGCCGCTGGATGGAAGGCTCTGGGTGTTTGCAGTGTAGACAGACCCGGTCCCGCCGCTCTCTAGAGAGTTTGAATCAATTTCAGCCCCTCTTGGGGGCAGGGGGTGAGTGCTGGCCGCTGGAGCGTCCCGGGACCCCTGTGTGAGTTCTCTAGCAAGCTGGCCCTAAAAGGAGGCGTCTTTAGTGCTGTGTCCTGGAACCAAAGCCTTCAGGGCTTCTCCCAACCCTCGAGTCAAACCATTTTCTTCCCTGTTCTGTGCCCTCCAGATAAACTGCGTGACCTTTCCTCACCCAGACACGATGCCAGAGCAACAGCTGCTGAAGCCAACCGAGTGGAGCTACTGCGACTACTTCTGGGTGAGCGGTGCCTCAGTTCCCCCCGCACTGTGGCCCCGGGGACCAGGAGTGGACACCCAGGAGAGGCGGGAGGGGCCTTGAGCTCAATGTGGAGTGATCTCTCCGGATGAAACTTCACGGGTTGGCAGTCGGTTGAGCACCTGAGGTGGGAACTCGAGACCCACTTGGAGTCCAGATCATTCCACGAATCTCAAAGTCAGCAGAGTTTTCATTCCTGAAAGCATGGAAACCGCAGCCAGAATGCTGGAGGGTCACTCTGTCCCTTAGTGATGGCAGGAGAGCAGGATCAACCTCATTAAAGGAGCCTGGGCTCCACACCTGCTCTGTCACTCTTGTTGGTGACCTGGGACAGGTGCTTCTCCTCCTGGACTGTTTCCATCAAAGTCACGAGGAGGCTGGGCACGTGGATGTGGGGGGAGCTGCAACTTTAAGAATTCTGTGGTCCCAGAGCCTTGGCATATCGTTTAACAGGGACAGAGTTTCCGTTGTGCAGGATAGAAAAGCTCTGGAGAGGGATGGTGGTGACAATTGCACAACAACATGAATGTGCTTAATGCCACTAAGCTGTGCACTTAGAAAGGGTTGAGATGGTAAATTTCATGTGTATTTTTCCTTGATTAAATAAATGCCTTTTGGTCAAATGCAGAGTCCTACTCAGAAGCTCTGGGGGTAGCCTTAGACATTTGCATTTTAAAGTTAACAATCACTTTTAAAATACAATCACCCCATTCTGGAATCAGATACCAGTGAATAGCACACCTAAAAAAAATTAACTTTTGCAAAGGCCCCAAGGAACAAGAAATAAAATTTTTAAAAATTGTTTTTCACCACCGTGCAAAATGGATTGTATCTACGCTGTTTTTAGATTCAGTAACCGAGTGTTGGACAAGAGTGCTTTTTTATTCCTACCAAATCTCTTACGCTTTAAAAGATAGTGGAAGATTCCTGTTGCCCCAGCTGTGTGTCTTCCAGATCTGAGATCTGGGCAGAGGCAGCAAACAGGATAGAGATGGCTCTGGGTTTGACACCTTTGGGGCGGGGATGAGCAGGGATCAGAGACTTCATAGGCTCTCCGAGTCTGTTGAGTTTTACTCAGTTTGCAGTAGGAAGGTGCTGAGGGGTTGAAGTGGGAAGAAGGTGTGATCTGATTTATCTGTGTTGTGCTGGGAGGGCTGTAAGCAGCCAGGAGTGCCTGTTAGCAGGCAGGTGGGGGACACCGGGAAAGATGGTGGCAGCTGCGGAGATGGAGAGACGCGGCTGGGCTTGGAGACGTCATCCATAAAGAGGGTGCAGGAAACAGAGCGTGCGGGGAGACTGGCTCGAGCCCCGGGAATGGGCACCCAAGGAGCCGGAGTCAGCTTGTGGGGTATCGTGCAGGGGTGTCGGGGAGCCGAGGGGACTGTGTGATTCTGCCACTCGCCCAGTTCTCACCTTGATTCCCACTCTCCTGGGACTCTGAAACTTAGCCCAGGGTTTCACCTTCCTGACCGCCAAGACCTTTTCCTCTCACAGAAATCTCTCTGCTGACCCAGTTATTAAAGCCCACTTCTTGCTGGTTTTTCCCAGTGTGGACAAAGCACTGCTTAAGCACCAGGGAACATGGGGGAGCCGGGGCACCAGGGGGGCCACGAGTTGGGGCAGCTGGCACTGCCGCCCCTGTGCTTCCTTTCGGGATGAGGCCGGGGTTACTAAGGGCGTCCGGCTCCCTTCTGGGTCTACGCTGCACTCCTCCTGGCTCCAGGTGCCGGTGTCACCTAGACACTCAGGCCTCTGTTTCCTTCCTAGGCGGATAAGAAGGACCCGCAAGGCAATGGCACTGTGGCTGGGTTTGAACTGCTGCTTCAGAAACAGCTGAAGGGCAAACAGATGCAGAAGGAAATGTCGGAGTTCATCCGGGAAAGGTGAGGCCTGGGCCCACCCAGCTCCGGGGGCTGGCGACCACCTTGGACCCTTAGCCTGAGGGAGTGAGCAGCAGGGGCTGAGCACCTCACACCCAGCACTTCGGTTAGTGCACAGGGCAACGCAGGACTGGAGCCGCAGACTCACAGCCCTGGGGACATGTCTGGCTAGCAGATGTGTTGCTTTGGCCTATGTAGTGTTTTTAAAGATTTGAACCGACTTTTTAAAAAAAAACATTGGTAGGTTTCGCATTGAAATCTGGATAGCTAGCATCTCTGGGGAAAGCAGAAAGTTGGCCACAGTGACTCTGCATCCCTCATAACATAAGTGATGCCGTAATTGGCTGGAGCTGCCCCTGTACAGGGAGCATGTGTGTCCAGTTTGCCACACTCTCCACCACTCCCTACTGTCTCCCCACACAGACCCCTTTATTTACCTGTAGGGCCCTCATTTGAAGCACTGCTTCTCATCATAGCAAAAAAGGAGAATGTTACCTTTCAATTCATCTTTCAGCCAAAACTATGTCCCGGGTCTGGGCATACGGAAACCCCTATCATCCCATCCCTGCCTTCAGGGAGCTCATTCTAATGGGGGAGTCAGATAAGGTCCTTATAATCAGTGCAGGGATTCTAGTAGTGGTTTGCCTGAGCATGGATGAGGAAGTCGTGAATTCAGCCTAACGCAAGTGGGGAGAGCTACAAAGAAGAGAAACTCCTCCATCTCCCTCCTCCTCTCAGCCTCTCCAAGTTTTGAGACCCCGTTAAACACACACCCGCAGACCTGCAAACTCCCACATGTGCACGTACCCCACCCCCCACACATGCACATATGCGTGCACACACACACACTTCCCTTCTCGAGTTTCCAGGACACACTGGAAATATTTGTAGTAAATGGCAGTGTGTTTTTAAAACATTTCTTTTTTGATGATAACAACGATGATCCAGTAACAATTCTTTGGCATTTTAAAGCGCCTGTTTCCTCTCGGTATAATCAAGTCTTTATTTTATGACCCATTAAACTAGTAGGAAGTTGAGAAGTGGCACAGCTCAGGTGTGAGAAAACAGCGGTGCAGAGCAGGCCAAGAGGAAAATGGCTGTAGAAGCTGACTGTGAGCACACTTACGGCTCATACTTTCACAAAGACATCACGTTAACAAGTAAATGGGGTGCTCCACGCAGAGACTCTGGTCTTCCCTGGGACAGGTGGGCTCCGGAGACTTCTCTCAGCCCACATGGGACCTGGTAGGGAGGCCCCTTCAGAGCCAGGAGGGGCCAGAGGTGAACGCCCGCTGGGCTGGAGGCCGGATGTCCACGTGGCCTCGGCTCTGGGGAGCGGTGCGGGTGCGGGCTCTGGAGGTGACGGGCCTCATGCCCAGTGCACGCAGTTGGCACTGATGACGCCTTTGGAGGTTTGATGCTAAGGATGTGACATGGTAAGCTCTGCTTTCTAGAGAGGTCTCCTGCCTCGGGCTGGAGGCTAGAGGCTGCAGGCTGGCCATCCTTGTGGTCCTGGGGAGGGGAGGGGAGGGACTACAGGCAAGTGAACGGAGAGCGAGTGATGGGGGCCAGAGGTAGATGGAGAGGGCGCTGAGGGCACAGCGGTGAGGGCAGGAGCCAGACTGCGGTCTCTCAGCACCAAAGCGGGAGATCATCCTTACTCAGCATGCTGCCACGGGACTTGATCGGGACGTCCTGCCTGCATCCTCACACACCGCACGCATCAGCTTCTGTGCAGTCTGGAAGCACGTGCTGCAGCCCTAGGGGCATCTCTGGGGTTTTCTGTTTGCCGAGTGACAGCCCAGGGGCTCTGAGGCCCCTGCCTTCTGGCCAGCTCTGGTGATGATGGGCGCAGCTCCTCGGGGGACCGCTTAGGCGGTGAATAATTCCAGGACAGCACATTTTACGCGACATGCCAGATAATACAAAACACTCCCCAGAGAGCTGCCTAGAAACTGTGTCAAGGCCCTGCCTGCTGGAAGTGAAACCCAAGGCATCTTGGCTCTCTGGGGAAGTGGGATCCGGGCACTGCTGGTTTCCATGGAGATGCTTGTGCCCTGCAGGCTTGACAGGGGCACTGGGGGCTGGGAGAATGCAAATGGGCTGACACTGCCTTGCAGGGTCTCCACCCCGAGCTCTGGGGCTGGGAGAGGGGGACAGCAGTGGTCCATGAGTGACATTTACTCAAGGGTTTGCCAGACATCCAGCCCTGTGCCAGGAGCTGCACAAGTGACAGCTCTTCATTGCCACAGCCAGGGACACAGGTGCAGACATCCCACCTTGCAGATGAGGAGATGGAGGTTCCAACAATTTTGTTCACTCATTCATTCAACAAACACTGATTAAGCACCTACTGTGTGTCAGGGGGATGGACAAGAGCCACGTTCTCAGAGCTAGTGGCCTGGTGGGTTCCTTTACGTGGTTAGTAAGCGGCAGGGCTGCAGGTCGGACCCACAGTCCGGCGCCGGGGAGCTGACCTGGACTTTTCTTGCTCTGCAGGATAAAGATTGAAGAAGAATATGCGAAGAACTTAGCCAAGCTGTCTCAGAACTCCTTGGCCGCACAGGAGGAGGGGTGAGTAGGGAGTGGGGAGGAAGAGGGGACACTCAGGAAGGGGGGGTCCCTTTTTACCCATCGCTCACCATGGCCATGGTCCCATGTGGATAGGGAGGTCTCCATAGTCCTGGCTCAAGGCTGCACTTGCACATTATCTCCTCTGTGGTGGCCACGGGCCTCCCGCCAGGTGCTGCGGTGTGTCAGGACCCCCTTTGGCCCGTCCCGTGGTAGCTGGGCACCGGCCCCAGACGCCCACCCCTGCTGCCCTTCCTCTGAGAGCAGGCTGGCGGGAAACTGGCTGTGTGAGGATTGACACAGCCCCTTGTTTAGGATTCCCTCCTGTGGGCCTGAGGCCCAGGCCGCCCGCCCCCGCCAGCTGCAGCAGCCCAGACCTCCCAGGCAGGGCCCTGGGCTGGGGGAGGCCCAGCCCCACCTTCTCAGCCACAGAAGAGTCCCTCGTTGGGGAAAGACTGTGGCCGTCTCTGCTCCGTCTGTTAGCAAAGAGGGTTCACCCCCTCCCTGCTGGCGGGAAGGCAAAATGGCGCAGCCACTATGGAAAAAAGTTCGGCAGTGCCTCAAAAACTAAACGTAGAATTATGGTATGACCCAGCAGTCTCACTCTTGGGTTTGTATCCAAAAGAACTGAAATCAGATACTCAGATACATATACGTGCCTGTTCATAGCAGCAGGACTCACTGTAGCCAGAAGGTGGAAACAGCCCAAATGTCCAACAAGGGGTGAATGCATAAACAAATTGTGGCCCCTCCACAATGGATACATGGATATATGATGGAATATTATTCAGCCGTAAAGAGAATGACATACTGATCCATGCTACCATGTGCATGAGCCTCGAAAACATTATACTGAGTGAAAGAAGCCACACCAAGGTTTCATTTTGTGTGATTCCATCTGTGTGAAGCGTCCAGAGGAGACAGATCCATACAGACAGAATGAAGATGGGTGGTGGCCAGGGCCTGGGGGAAAAGGGAGTAACTGTCTAATAGGTTTCTTTTCGGGGGGGGGGGATGTTTGTTTATCTGCTTGAGCTGCTGCAACAACACCATAGACTGGGCGGCTTAAACAACAGAAATTTAATTAATCACAGTTCTGGAGGCTGGGAAGTCCAAGGTCAGGTGGCGGCAGGGTTGGTGTCTGGTGAGAGCTCTCCTTGCATTGCCCGCTGCTTTTCCTCGGTGAGAGGAAGCAAGCTCTTCTGGTGTCTCTTCTTACAAGGACGCAAATCCTGTCAGATCGGGGCCCCATCCATATGATCTCATGTAATCCCAGTGACTTCTTTAGAGGCCCCACCTGCAAATTACAGCCACACTGCGGGTCAGAGCATCAACATATGAATTTGGGGGACACGAACATTCAGTCCATAACAGGATGATAAAAATGTCTGGGAACTAGAGAGAGGTGGTGGTTGCACAGGGTGGCGAGTGTCCTGGAAGCTTGTTCTCTTTAAAGTGGTTAATGTTGTGTTCTGTGAATTTCGCCTCCATAATGACACAAATGCAGAGTCTTGGGAGGTTAGAGTTGAAAGGTCCCCCGTGGTCCTCTCTCTAGTCCGACCTCCCTGCAGTGCAGTCTCTGGTTGAATCCCTCCTGCGAGGGGAAGTGAGCCCAAGGATGGAAGGCGCTCTGCCGTGGGATGGCTGGAGCGTGCGGAGAGCTGTGATGTCGGCGAGCCCAAGTCTGCCTGCGCGGCTGGAGTCCTTCAGGGGACGGGGCTTCGCCGGCCGAGTGCGGCTTTGAGTATGGCCTCCGCGTGGGCTTGCTGTGCAGCCAGGAGGCCGCCTCTGAATGGCTTTCACTGACCCAGCAGGCCACAGGCGGCCCCGCAGGGCCAGTGTCTCTCCCGGGGACGTCAGTGAAGTTGCCTCCAGCCTCCTGCTCCGAGCACTGGGCCTGAGACCAGGGCAGGAAGGGGGCTTTCCTAAGTGCCCCCGTGCCCTGGAACGCAGTGCTGCGCTGGTCTCCACCTCCTCGGCCTGGGCTGCTACCAGGGGCACTGCATCCCGCCAACATGCGTGGCACATGCTCCCAGCTGCACAAGACAGGCGGTATCACCACGCCGTACACGCAGCACCTACAAGGGGGCAGCCACCGCACACTCACGGGTGTGCACCAGCACTGCTCGTGGCCGTGAACACATACCCAACGGCCACTGCACGCACACACTGCACTGCAGCCACCCCGCTCCTTCCAGCAGGCACGTCGGCCCCCTACTCACAACGTGCAGCTACACTGCGTGGCTTTGGGCATCAGCTCGTCCACCTGAAACTCACAGAGGGCAGTGCTGGAGCCTAGAAATTTGGGGCCGTCTAGGAAGATGCCGATGGGGATGCTTGAGACACGTGCATGTTGGTCAGTACATAAACAGAACCAGGAGATTTATTCTGTCTTCAGTTTTCTCTCCCGTGTGGAAAGGAAACGGGATTTTGGTCTTTTCTGGCTGGGAATTGTGACAGTCACATGCATTTTGCTTTGGCAGGCCTCAGACGGTCTACTGGCACAGGAATTACAGCTTGGGTTTGTTTTTTTTTTTTCATTAATCTCTTATCAGATGAAGAGATCTCTCTTCAGTGAGAGAATTTCTAAATTGCTTTTTTCTGCCTTGTGAAGCAGCTCCAAGCGGGGCTGGAATACTGGTAGCGGGGAGACCTGTCTGGGGATGTATTAGCTCAGAGAGGCCCATCTGAATGTTTGGAGTGACATCCTCCCCCCGTGAAGGCCCAGCCAGGAGATGGGGCCAAGGACATTGTCCTGAGTGTGAAACAGGGTTTCCTCCTTTCTTCCTGGCCACCCTCAGATGACAGTCTCAAGCCACTACTGCGTTCCCTGGTTCTCTGCTGACAGAGGACTTAGAAACTCTCAACACCACCCAGGGTTTCTTGGCCTCCGGGCTCTTGTGTGTACCTCCCGCAGGCTCACGTGTGGCTCGGCTGCAGGGACAAGCCCCCGTCTCCAGCCTCCTTTAATCAAGTCCCTGCTCCGCCCGGGACTGCCTCTGTAAGCTTGTTAGCTTTCACTTTAGACCTGCGGTCCATCTTGAGATAATCTGTGTGTGTGGCACGAGATCAGGGTCAGGACCCCTGTTTCCCCTGTGGTTGCACAGTTGTCCCTGCACCATTTGTTGAAAGGCCGTCTGTTCCCCATTGAAATGCTTGGCACCTTTGATGCACCCTCATCGCCCGTATCTGGGTGAGTTTCTTTCTGGACCTGGTTTTCTGGTTTTGTATCTGCATGACTATCACGCCTGCTTCCATTCCCTCCTTCCCCTACCGTGGACCCCTCACCCGTCTGCCAAATCAAAGTGAGGAGCCAGGCCACCCAGCGTTGCCCCAGCCCGGCTTCCAGGAGCTCAGGCCCGTCAGGCCAAGACAAATGTCAACAGCTTGGATGACCCCATTTCTCACTCCATCTCTTCTTGGTTGGCCCCCCAGCTGAGATCACCCGAGGGGACCTTCTTAGCTGCCAGACTTTAGATAAAAGCAATCAGTCATTTCGCATAGACACCCACCTCGGCCCCAGCCCGCAGCACGACCGGACAGGCCTGGACTGTGGTCTCAGGGATCCATTCTGTTCTGTTGGGTAATTCTCAGCTGTAGGCCGCCGGGCTCAAAACCCAGAAGCCTCACAGTACGCTGTCTTTTAATCAGCCTTTGCTACTTGAGTTTAGTGAATTCTCTGAGGGAAGTGGCTTTTGGAAGAAATTGAGTCAACTGAACATTCAGCCGGGATTTACCAGCTGGATGGAGAGGTCTCGAGTCAGGATGCTGGAGTATCATTTGGAAGTTCAGCGAGGTTCAAGAGTTCCAAATAAGGGAGACTGGAGCGTGGGGGCGTGCATTCGAAGGTCTTGGGGACTTCAGGAGATTGCTTCTATTTGGAGCAGCTCCCTCGAGTGGAAAAGTGATTTAGCTTAGAGGACTTTCTGTTCTGTTCTCTGCGGGCTCCGGGCAGCCCTGGAGCTCATATCCAGAATCAGTACTAGCCTGGGGGGGTGGGGGGGCATGCTTCTGAGGGTGGTGATGGTGAGCTCTCTGAGAGGTCCCTTGACCCAGGTGGTCCGTCTTTGACCCCTCTTGAAAGTCAAGCCACTGGAGGTTTGCCTGCAAGCCAGGCTACATGGTACCTTCTGTTTGAGAAGGGCTTCTCCCTAAAAATGCAGCCGTCCTCCTTCCTTGGTTTGCCAGCAGGCATTTGTGCTCCTCAACAATAAACCCGGGAGCGGTGATGGGAAGGCAGCGGACAGTAACGGGCCAGGTGTCCGGGCCCTCACAGCACTGTACCCCACCTCCCTTTCACATCTCCCCAGTCCTCTGGGCCCCCTGATATTTCCCCAGGCACTCAGCTGTCTGCCGCGGTCTGTCCTCTCAGCTCCAAGGTCCTCAGCTCAGTTCGGGATGCCTCACCTGGTCCCATCGGGTGAGGTGTGGTACCCGCGTTTGTTTTGTGCCCGGCCTCTGCCTCATCCAAGTCCACCGTCTCAGGGGTCCTGCGTTCCCCCAGGACTCGAGGTCGAGACCCACCAGCCAGCCTCAGGGAGGGCCGTGGTGTCTGACGGGAGGTCGCGCAGCCCTCTCCGAGCCTCACCGTGCCCTTGGTCTTGCAGGTCCCTGGGAGAAGCGTGGGCGCAGGTGAAGAAGAGCCTTGCGGACGAGGCCGAAGTTCACCTCAAGTTCTCCGCCAAGGTAACCTCTCCCCGCGGCCTCCCTGGGTTGGTCCTACACAGCGATGTACCGCTGAATGTTTAGCAAATATCTTTCCAGTGTGGTGTCACCCAGTTTCCATGGTGTAAATTTCAAGAGTGCAAAACACGTAGCGTTAGAGGGTCCTCCCCTGTACCGGTAGCCGTACACGTCCATCAGGAGCATGGGTAACAGTCCCAGGTGGTTAGGAAGGGACAGGGCTGGGTGTGCCTTACCTTTGTTTTTAACGGAAGTCCTGGGGGTTGAGCCCGGGACCTCGTGCATGCTAAGCACTCACTCTACCGCTGAGCTAGACCTCCCTCCCTCCCCGTGTTACCTCTGTTTTTAACATAGTTTGTTAATTTTAAGTTTCGCTCGTGTAATTTTTAATCCTGGCCGTCTTTAACAACCAGGTGACAGAGTTCCTCTGAATTTAACACTGGGCTCTGGTGAGCCGGTACGAGCCGCCCCTGCTCACCTGTGTGCCGTGAGGGTGGGTGCCCCTCCGTTCCTCAGGTGAGCCCCTGAGTGATGGAACCTCACTTTCATGTCACTGGGCCTTCAACGGAACGCACTGGCATTTTCTGCCTCTTCTTGGTGTCTAGAGAAACTAGACTGTTTCAAAGGGAGAATTTTGTTTTGTTTCATTGTTGTTACCAGAGGATTTCAGACTAGGTAACTGGCCCTTCTTTCATTTGGTCCAAAAGACTCTAGCACCGTGACCCCGAGGAGAGCGATGTTTCTGTGCTGCTCACTCTGCCCTCAGTACCCAGGGTGGTGCCTGGGACATGGTAGATGCTCAATAAATGTTTCCTGGAATTATGAATGAACACGGCCCCTATCTCCTCTCGGCCCCCTCATCTTTTCAGGCCTACTTTCTCCCAGGATTTCTCCGAGTTTCCTAATGACCCTCTCTTCCCCAGTCCCTGACTCCTGTCTCCAGGTTCCCTCTCAAGCTCTCAGTTGCTTCTTAGGTGAAAATAAACCAAGAGTCTAAGGGGGAAATTCACACTAAAGTTTGCATGACTGATGGGACCACCCACTTGCATGCTTGCCTTTTAAAGGAGGAGGAGCTCCGGAGAGTGGCACCATTCCCAGTGACCTTTGCCTACTGGGTCCACACTCTTTCTTCCGCCCTCCCACAGTCACCCGTCAGACACAGCAGCCCAAGACAACAGTGGGACAGAGTGCTTAAACCCTCTGAGCCCACATTTTAAAATCAGGGGTACACTACCTCCTTTACTGAAGGTGGCATCCCGCAGACGGCTGCTCCTTCCCGGGACCTCCACACTCAGCACTCACTGGTCCTCTCTCTTTCCTAGTGCTTTTCCCACAGCAGTTGTGATTCTGGGCTTTTGTATCCTGTTGGGGGACAAGACACTGGCTTTGTATCCAGGTCTCCCCACCCCACCCCAGCATGATTCTCCGCACAGTGAGGGCAGAATGAATGACTCACAAAGCTGAGACGTGTGGAGGAGCTTTATAAAGAGCTGGGGTGGGAGGAAGGACCAGCTCCTCGCATCTGAAGGATTGCAGTGCCCCAAGATGGTGTTGACACCAGATGCGAGGGAGAACTCCTGGGCTGACAGCGGCACACTAACCTCGTACCCCAAGCATTTTCACAAGGAAATTGCCACTGAGAGACAAGGGAGCTCCGTGAATTAGTCTCTTTTGAGCCTTGCTTACAAAGCAGCGAGCTATTTTTGCGCTGCAGCTCATGGCGGTGTTCCCTCTAGGTCTCCCTTCTCCTCTCCTGCCCCCAGCAGCTCCGTTCTCTGCGGTGAGAAACCTCCACTGACTGTGAGATGAAGGGCGGTGGGGCTGTCGCCGGGAGTGGTGGGGCTGGGAGCCAGGTCTGCAAGCTTCTGAGTGGTCGCCTGTGGCTCCCCGGGAATCCTGGTGATGTGTACTCTCCATCAGCGGGACCCCGATTCTCGGCTGTTCATAAAGTACTCAGCGGGCGACAGAACACCCCCGGCACTGTTTCCTTCTGATCTTTCCTTTTACTGCCGCCCCTCGCACCAGTGCTTCTGGTCCCCAGATGAGTGGGTGGGAAATGGCCAGGGAGGAGCTGGTGCAGGAAGCCTGGAGTGCCCTTCCCGTCCCTGGGCTCCTGGCGCCGACCAGTTCCCAGGCCCCAGCTGTGTGTCCCACAGTTTAACTCAACTCTGACACTAACTTCCTGGGGTCAGCATCAGACCCCACAGGTTAAGGACTCAGTCCCGCAGAACCCCCCTCCCCACTTCAGATGGGTCCACTACTTCTGCCAGCTTGGCTAAGGATCAGGGGTTCCCATGACGCCTTCCTCAGGTTTAATGATTTGCTAGAACAGCTCACAAAACTCCGGGAAACACTAGGTGTATCAGTTTATTGTGTATTAAAGGATATCGTAAAGGATACAGATGAAGAGACACGTAGGGGCAGGTATGAAAGAGTCCTGAGTGCGGAGAGCCTGTCCCCATGCTGTTCCTGTCCCCATCCTCCCCTCGCGTGGGTGTGTTCACCAGCCCAGGAGCTCTCTGGGGCCTGTGATTTACAGATTTTTATGGAGGTTCCATCATGAAGGCATGATCAGTTGTGAACTCAAGCTCCTGCCCCGCCCCTCTCCACAGGGGATGGGGAGTCAGGCCAAAAGTCCCAGGCTTCTAATCATGGCTTGGTCTTTCTGGTGACCAGCCCCCATCCTGAAGCTTCTGACAAGCCCATCGAGAGTTAGAACAAAAGATGCTCCTATCACCCATGAAATTCCAAAGGCTGTAGGAATGGGGTCAGGAACCGGGATCAAAGTCCCAACATTAGATGTAAAGATGCTTCTGGCACCTCAGTTGTTTAGGAAATTGCAGTGGCTTTAGGAGCTGTGGCCAGGAAAGACCAAACTATATGTTTGTTATTATATCACAGTGATGTACATGTTCTAGGTGGTTATATGTAGGATGCAAACTCATCCCTCTCAATTTTATCAGCCACCACGCAAGACAGCCTCTCCATTTTACACACGAGAAGGAACAGAGAGGTTCCATCACAGCCCGTGGTCACACAGCCACATGGGCTCAGCTACTGAAGAAGCAAAGGAGAGGACTGAGCAAACTGGAGGCTGGAGCCCCAGACCTTTCCTCCTGGAAGCCCAGTGGCATTGAAAACACAGAACCCTGTTCTGAGGAGCACAGTACCCTCTCTTAGGGACTGTGCGGGGTGGTGCAAGCTGGCCCTCCAAATGTCAGGATGTTTTAAGTCAGGGCCAGCTTCATCTAGCTGATGGGAGGCTTATGAAGATGATTTCCACAAAATTCACCCATGGGTTTTTCTATAAGAATGTCTGTGCCTCCAACCTGTCAATCATTATTGGTGGCCCCAGGCAGTCGGAGTGGTGGCCCAGTGGTTATCTGATGATTCCTTAAAAAGAAAAGGCCGCAAGGACTATCCATCCACCAAGGATAACACAGCCACGTACACGCAAAACCCATTTTAACATCTGCTCCGAAAGGCTCGTTGAAGTTCCTCCCTGAATGTGCTGTGTCTGGGGCAAGAGCTCTTTAGGAAATGTAATTTCATTACGGCAATCTTTTAGGCCTTTCTAGTCTGCTAGCCCGAGCCACTGTTCATAGCAACGGGCTGTTAAAGAATAAGACTGCTGCGTGTAAAGGAAGTTACACCTGGTTCTGGGTGAGGAAGGGAGAAGAGAGGGTGAGAGAAAAGCTGATCCCGCAGCAGAGGCCACTCATTCAGCCAGAAGATTTCGGGGGCACAGTGGGAGTCAGGAGACATGACTTTTCTGTCGGTGCCATCACTAACAAGCTTTGCAGCCTGGGGCAAGTCACGTAGCATGTCTGAGCTTCCGCTTCTCCATGTATGAAATGAAGCGTTTCGGCCAGATCAGTGAACTTGAAACTTGTTTGACTGTGACCCACAGCAATACGTTTCTCACACCACCCAGGACGCCCAGGTATCCACACGCAGCTACGCACACACGTCGCTGAAACAGCTCCTTCGTGAAACTGCTTACCCTTTTGCCTGAAATGCACCGTTTTCTATTCGAGTCTGGTCTCTTCTCACCTGAAAGCTCGTCCTGACCCACTAAACTGATTTCACAACTCTTAGCAACTCACTGTTTGGAAAACAAAAACCCTGGACTACATTCAGGCTTGCCTTATTTTATGTTGCACGTTGCTTTATTGTGTTTTTTACGAACTGAAAGTTCGCGGCCACCAGCGTTGCAGATGGTTAGCATTTTTTAACGATAAAGTATTTTTAAAATTAAGGTATGTGCATTTTTAAGACATAATGCTATTGCACACTTTTAATAGACTACAATGTAGCATAAAGGTAACTTGTGCGTGCACTGGCAAGCCAAAAAACAAAATCCACGTGACTAGCTTTACTGCGATTTCCACTTTATTGTGGTGGTCTGGAACTGAACCGCACTGTCTCTGAGGTCTGACTTTAGTCTCTGAAATTCCTTCCAACTTGAGATTTCTTTTACTCTCTTCTGATGAGTGACTTGAAAGGAGGCAGGAGTTCTGAAAGGCAAACTGAATGGTTGTGATAGCCGGTTCCAGCCAAGACAGGCCGACTCGTTCACGAGGGCAAACTTTGCTGGAGGGACTTCTGCCTCCTATTAAACAAAGATGCTGGAAAGTTAAGAATGAGTATGAAAAGATACCCAGACAACTTTCTTAAAGAAAAAAAGTTGCCTTTTAAGAGCACTTAACACGTATAGAGAGAATCCATGGATCTTCCATCTACAGGATTAAATCACTTCTGACAGTTAGTAGCATCGTGTTTCCAGAATGTCGTTTGGAATTTGGGGAGAGCATCTGGCTGCATTGGCAGGATCCCGGGCCCTTCCCCAGACCACAGGACCTGGGGCCGGGGCCCAGGAGTCCTGTGTGTTGAAAGCCCCTCCAGGCCACTCCTGGACGTGTTGAAGTCTAGACGTCTGTCTCTTCCCAGGCCCTTGGAAAGAGACCCCAGAGTCACCGGGTCAGCAGGCCCAGTTAACCCACATGGACTCCCATCCAAGGCCTAATCTGTGGGGAAGAGGTTTTCATCGGCAGCACTCAAGTTTGTAGCATCTTGCGAACTGCCAGCAGATGGGGGTGTTTTCCTGTACAAGGAAACTTCCAAGAGCACAAAAAAAAAAAAAAGAACAGCAGACATTATAACCAACATAGGAGGAGAGGGGCATGTGCGTAGCCTGCTCTCTGTTAGTCTTTGACAAACGTCGTCTTGTCACCCAGGGCATCGGGCCCTGGACATTTTGTCATTCTTCCAAGTAGTGAGAGGCACTCATTGCGTGCCAGCTCCGGCCAGATGCTGCGGACACAGCAGCGGCCAAGCCAGCGTGGCCCTCACCCTCTTAGAGCTCGCAGCCTTGTGTGAGCAGTGGTTTGGTACTAGGAACACCCCATCCTCGAGGTCTCCGGGGAAAGGATAATGTGGCAAGGGCCTGGTGAGGAGGAAGAGGAGAGAAATCACAGGATCCCGGAGCTGGGATGTCATCCGGCTGGGGACGTTCAGCTCTGCTTCCCAGAGAGACGGGTGGAGGCTGGGGGACCCTGGAAGGCCTGTGGAGGCATCCTGGAAAGCTGAGTCAAGGAGTCCTGGGAAGCTGTGTTGGGGGGGTGGGTCACAGACCAAATCAAGAGGGTCCTGAAAAACTCTTGGCTGGAAAAGCTGTCTTGGGGGAGGCATAGACCAAATCAGGGGGGTTCTGGAAAGTTGCATAGGAGGCTGAGTCAGGGGTCCTGGAAGGCTGTGTTGGAGGGTCAGTGGCCGGAGGAAGCTAAGTTGGGGTGGGTGGGGGTCTGAGAGGCTGAGCCGGGGGGATCTAGTCTGTGACCTTGACCACAGCAGGTCCACATTTATCTGTTTTCTCACCAGATGCATCTTATGTTCACATCCCCCCCCCAAAAAGTTTTAAGTAAAAAGTTCTTCCAAAGAGAGTAGAGGGGGAAAGAGGGAAAGAATGAAAGAGAAGGAAGAAGCTCGACAACCCACGTCACCTAGTGCCTCTCAGAGCATAAACCCCTTCTCTGGCCCCCAGGGTGCGAGGCCAGGTCGGTCTGATGGGATGGGGGTGCGCCTGTCTCCACGCAGCCCTGAGGGTGTAGCTCAGGACAGGGGCCCTGTGAGCTCCCACCTTGGCTTCTCTGAGCCCTGGACTATGTCCAGACCATCTGTGGTCTCAGCGCCTGGCACACAGGAGACGACCAATAAGTAGCACTGAGTCAGGATCACCTGATGAAACGTCATCCACATGCAGTCGCTGTGCCAGGTGCTTGGGGACGCAGGGGTGGTGGCTTGGTTTCCGCACCCAGAAAGCTCCCAGTTTGGAAAGTACGGAAGATGGACAGACACCTGAGCAAAGCGCTAGAGGAAGTTCTGGGGGCTTAGAGCAGGAAGGGGGTGCCAAAAGGGGACTCGGAAGGTTCCAGACGCTAACCTGTCCATCAGCGTGAACACCGGGGCCTGGCCAGCTGGGGTGACTTCCTCAACCGTGACCGGACAAGCAGCCGCTTGTCCCTGCGCTTCCTGCGGGACGGGCCCCATCCTCCCCTGCGGGGTTGGGGAGAGTGACCCTCCCTCCGCTTGCAGCTGATGCCCGGGGTCCTGAGTGTGTCTCCTTCATTGACAGCTGCACAGCGAGGTGGAGAGACCCCTGATGAACTTCCGCGAGAACTTCAAGAAAGACATGAAAAAGTGTGACCACCACATCGCTGACCTCCGCAAGCAGCTCTCCAGCCGCTACGCCGCGGTGGAGAAGGTGAGGGTACAGGACGCCGGGCCTTGTGGGAGCGGTCCTGAGGGGGAGACGGGGCTGGGAGCCAGGAGGGGCTCCATGTGCCAAGGCAGAGGCCTTTGTTCACTCTGTGGTGGGACTGGGGGCAGCCCTACCCCCAGCTGGAGGGCAGGTAGGAGCTGCTCCCCCTGAGCTGGTGGCGCTCAGACCCCCGGTGGGAGCAGACGAGGCTGCACCTGCAGTGGGCGATGGAGGGGCCTCCATCCGGCACGTGAGACAGGGTCCACCCTGCTTTCGTGGGACTTGGAGTCTGGATGTGCTGCTGGTCCACACAGCACATCCCCCTCTGTCTGGATCTCACCTGGCAGGTTCCCTCCTGACGGAATCGCTTCCCTCCCAGAGGCTGAGGTGGTCTGACCTCAGTGGGAGCTGCTGGTGGCCAGTCGTGGAGGGAGGGGAGGGCTTCCTGGGGGCTGACTCCAGCCAGCCTTAGAGAGGGGAGCAGGAGAAGGGGGCACGTACAGCTGCGGGCGCCCCCGAAGGGCCCGTCCTGCCCCAGAAAGCAGTGGCTGGTGCTTCCATCTGCTTAGCCTTGCTGAGAGGTGACGGAGGGTGGCCTCCGCGGTTCGGGGACTGCCTGGGCCCCCAGTACGTGCACACACTCCAGTGAAAGCACGGTGTGAGACGCTTGCTCTGGGCGGAGAGGCAGGGGTGGGCCCCTGCAGGGTCCCTCACTGGCTGGGTGATGCGAGTCTAGCTGCTCAGCCTGTCGGAGCCACAAAAGCAGGGAGAAGCCAGGACTCAAACCTCGAGGAGGGGAGGCCAGGCCACGTGGGTGCCCCGCGGGCCCTCCTGGCTCTGAGCCCCGTGAACAGCTCCACGTCCTCGGACCCCAGGCCCGGAAGGCCCTCACGGAGCGGCAGAGGGACCTAGAGATGAAGACCCAGCAGCTGGAGATTAAGCTGAGCAACAAGACAGAGGAGGACATTAAGAAGGCGCGGAGGAAGTCCACGCAGGCAGGTGAGCGCGGCGCCGCTGCCGTCCTCAGCGGGTCCCAGCAGCCCGGGAAGGAGAGGCCGGGAGACGGGGCCCCGGGCAGGTGCGTCCCACAGGACGAGGCTGTGGAGTGGGGAGCAGGCCAGGCCATGGCGGGGGCCGGGGCTCCCCACACTCCCCAGAAGGGGCTCCTTGTGGCTGAAGTCCTGGGTCTCTGGCCAGGAGATGGACCAGCTCCTCCAGGCACCCAGAACTCAGGGGTCCTGTTGCCACGTGGAGCTTCCAGGATAAGTGCAAACCCCACCCACCCATCTGTCCCACCTCCTCAGGGAGTGACGCTGCACAGTTCACCTGCGGTGACAGGCTTCTGTCCTAGAACAGAAGCCGACATTTTGCTTGATGAGATAACCACATTTCAGAGTCCCTCCAAAGGAGTGCCCCAGTGAGTTAGCTTCTGCTTCCGCCTAGAGGTGAAAATTAGCTAATGCACAAGGAGGGGGGAGAAAAGCTAGTTAGAATTGTGGGGGTAGGTGTAGCTCATGCTAAGCACGCATGAAGTCCTGGGTTCAATTCCCAGTACCTCCACTAAGAAAAAAAAAAGCTTGCTAAAAAAAATGTTGAATATTTCTAAAAAATCAGTTTTACTGTGTATAAGGACAACACATCTTGCTTCAGGGGATTAACATGTGTGCTGTGGGATCAGGGTTTGGATTAGATGGTCTCTAAATCCCTTTCATCCTAACTTCTGGTGAACCTAGTACAATCAGTTCATTATAGGATGAAACAGCCACCTTATGGACATTTTGAGATAAAGTGGCATAAAAATGTCAATGACAAAGAAATTAAATACAGCATTGTATATAAAGGTCTTTTTTTGGACTTTTTTAAGTCGAAGTATAGTCAGTTTACAATGTTGTGTCAATTTCTGGTGAGACGAGGGGCCTGGCTCCTAGGTGTAGGTGGGAAAGGGCAGCCACGGTGAGGACAGGATGGAGCACTGACGGTGGCATTGGCCCTTTCCAGGAGATGACCTGATGCGCTGTGTGGACCTCTACAACCAGGCCCAGTCCAAGTGGTTCGAAGAGATGGTGACCACCACACTGGTGAGTGACCAGAGATGCATAAGCATGTCACAGTACAGGGACAGGCACTCAGGAAGCCCGGAGTGGAGAGGACCCTGGAGATGGTCTTTAGGTCCACTCTCGTGCTGGGACCGAGACCTCGGCTCCGGGCCAGTCCGTGTGGATTCAGATCCTTGCTCTGGCCCTTCCGGGCTGTGAACACAGGCAACGATCAGTTCTTGCTCTCTGCTCCGCCCCCTGGGGGGTCAGGGTCAACCAAGCAGACAGTGGTCCTTTTAGGAAAAATAACCAAGCTGTAGGGAGCATGAGCCTCCCCATGCCCCGAAGAGGTGCAGGTCCGAGACAGGAGAGCCCTGTGAGGCGGGTGAACGGGTGAGGTTGGGGCAGCAGTGTGGGAGGGGTCGGGGAGGCTTCTGACCAGGGGCCAGGGAGTCAGGCATCAGACCCCTTTATCTGATCTCCCGAGTATTTCCGGTGAGGTCAGTCAGCACCTGCTGAGTGGGACAGTGAGGTGAGGCTGGCACTTGGGCCACTGGACGATGAGAAAGGAGACATGCCAGATGCTCATCACACCGGTGGTCCCACTGCCCAAAGCCACCCCTGTCCATCTGTCCGTCCAGCGTGGGACTAACCCCCTGCCGTCTCCAGGCGTCAGCCCACCAGAGCAGATTAGAGGCCTCCCCCAGGGACAGTGACCCAGTTTTCCTCCTGGTCAATCTCCTAATTAAGCTCCTTCTTTACTCTCCCCCAACCTCCGTTAACCACCTGGGCAGTGACCTAGTTGTGTGCAGAATAACAGTCTGATCCCATAAACTGCAAAGATGCAGAACCACTGGGGAACCGAAGGGCAAGCCCTGTCCGCTCTTCCCTTTGACAGTGGCCACCCCGCTCCCACCCTCCCGGCCTGTCCCTGGCTGGTCCCTCAGCACTAGGGGTGGACAGAGGAGACAAGGCCGCCCAGCAGAGGCCTGGGGACAAAGCCCCAGGAGTCTGAGGCACAGAAGCCCCTGCACATGTTCCGTTTCCCTCCCCCACCAGGGGCTGGGCTGTGCTGGTGCAGAACCACGATTGAGAGGACAGCAGACCCTGGTGCCAAGCCCACTCCTCCCAGAATGCCGTGTCACTTTGAGCAAGTGATGTTCCCTTTCTGGGAATTAATTCCCTTGTTTGGAGGATTCGGATAAGACTAGAACCTATCCCTTAAATTTATTATGACTATTAAGGAATGCACCCAGCGCGCCTGGCAGAACAAGACTCAGGCGTCAGGAGCTGCTGCACCCGCAGCCACACCTCCTCCCCTGGCTATGGGGCGAGCTCCTCGGCAGACCCCAGAGGGCCCGATGGGGCAGGGTGCGAGCCGGGCGGTCTGGGCCCTGCGTGGTCCCCAGGGTGCAGCGACACGCTCGGAGGTTTCCGGTGGTTCCCTCCCCAGGAGCTGGAGCGGCTGGAGGTGGAGAGGGTGGAGATGATCCGGCAGCACCTGTGCCAGTACACGCAGCTGCGGCACGAGACGGACATGTTCAACCAAAGCGTGAGTTCCCGGCGGGGCCCTGGGGACGCGGGCCACCAGGTTAAGGAGCTGCTACAAATGAATCTGTCCTGAAGGCAGGCGCTGGGCAGGGGCTCGGCCTTGCAGGTGACCGCTGGGGGTGGACGTGTCGATGGCCCTGAACGTCTGCGTGAATCCTTCCTGAGCGCGTGACGTAGATGAGCCTGGGCGCTGAGGAGAAAGATGCTCACGATAGTTGAAATCGCTGGAGATGTCATTGCCTCCCCCGGCGGACTTCTTACAATTCTAGAAATATTCAAAATAGCTGAAACTGGGGGGAGGGGTTAGAGTACATGCTTAGCACGCACAAGGTCCTGGGTTCAATCCCCGGTACCTCCATTAACATAACTAACTAAATAAACCTAATCTCCCCCAAAACAAAACAAAACAAAACAAAGCAAAAAGCTAAAGCTGAAGTTCCATTTGACCTGCTCTCAGGTGGTAAACGTGGGGACAAATGGAGAAACAGGTTGCAGACCCACCTGCCTTCTCATCCACCCTGAGGTCTGGAGGCTCCCAGGGACCAGGGCTCCAGGCCCTACCTCTCATGGCCCCCTGCACGTGCCCCTTGCCTGGGCCTCCTGGTTGCCTCACGACCCTCTAGAGAGGCTGCTCTGATGGGCGCAAAGGTGCAGGCGGCATGGCTCAGAAGATACGTCCCTGGCTGGGCCGCCACCTCTGATGGTGTCCCTTCTTTTCCGTCCCTTGCAGACAGTCGAGCCTGTGGACCAACTGCTTCGAAAAGTGGACCCAGCCAAAGACCGGGAGCTGTGGGTCAGAGAGCACAAGACGGGCAACATTCGCCCTGTGGACATGGAGATCTAGACATGCGGCTGGGGGTCCTGCCGAGGAGGGGCTGGGGGCCCCACGGAGAGGAAGTGGCGCCCCTGCCGTGGGGGCTGCTGCCAGGCGGAGCCTCCCTCCCACCCGCTCTCCTGGTGCCCCGAGGAGAGGGGACAGTGATGCCAGGAGGGCGGCCTGGACGGCCCCTTTGGGAGCTCTCCATAGTTCCCAGGCCGAGGAGATGGAACCACAGCCCTGCCCTTGTCTCCGAGGCTGAAGCCCCCTAATCCTGTGCTGTGCTTGCCACTCCGAGAACAAACTGAGGCTGGAACTCTGGTCCCTGCTGAGCACCACAGGGTCCCCTCCCCACCCAGAGCCGGTTGTGTCACACGCTTGTGCCCCTGGAAGCCCCAAGGCCCCTCCTCCAGCTGGCCCCCCTGTCCCCAGGGCTTTGGAGGGGCAGGGGAGGGAGGTCTCTGTCTCAAAACCGAGTGTCAGGATCGGAATCATGGATAGAAGCCACCATTCAGCTCAACAGCCCACACCCAGAATCCTTTGCAACCCTCCTCTCTGATTTTTCCCTGTTGCATTCCGGGAGCCCACATCCTGGCTCTTCTCTGCTCCTTTTCATCATTGGGAGTCTTGGGAAGAAGGCCTGGCCCCTGTCTTCCCAGACTGACCCAGCCTAGAGAGGTCAGGATGGAACTACCTCACTCAGCAAATCAGCCCCAAGTCGGAGCATCAAATCCTGTTTCCTAATAGATCAGGCATCCTCTGTCAAGTCCCCTCTCTGGACATCCCCGTCCACTCAACCTGCAGCCTCTTCCTCCAGGAAGCTCCCTCCTCCCACCCTTGCCCATCCCAGGGGCTGGTTCAGTCCCACGAGGGAGATGGGTGGGTGGGGTAAGTCTCTGTCACCCCCCAGATGGCTCCACCTGCTTGTGCCCGGCGGGGTTGGGACCACTGTCCTTTGTGTGGCTTTCACTGGTGGGTACCATGCAGGCACCGTAGACCCTCAAGTCCACAGTACATGTCGCCTTCCAGGCAGTCGGCCGCCTCGGCCTCTCAGCCCCTTCTGCACGTTCCAGAGCCCTGCACGGAGCCCCTGCTTGGCGCTGGTACCATCCTGCCCTTTCCCCGCCTCCCGATTCCTGGAGAAGCCTGGGATGAGTGTGACCTGGGAAGCTTTTGGCCCTGTCTCACTCATCACTTTCTCCCTTTACAGAACCACAGCAAACACGTTCTCCGCCATGTTAAATCTTGAGACTCAGCTCAGGGGGACCAGAAGAAGAAAGGGGCTGAGGGAGGTCACACTGCTAGCAAAGGGCAGATTTCTAGCCTGGAACCTGTGTCCTGAAAACCCATCTTTCTTGTTAAGCTTTCCTGTTGATTACTTTGGATGTACAGATCCCATACGTCCCCCAAAGGGCAGAAGTCAAAGAGCACAAATCACTGGTCTTTCTCTCCGTCTTACGTGCTGGTAACTGATGACTCGTTAATCTTCTCTCTCATTGAGTCAGAATGGCGCCGCCATAGTTTATCACAGAAAAGATGCCAAATATCCTACAGCAAACCAAGCTCGGCCACTTTTATTAAAACGTCCCAACCAGAAAGCTCACCATGAAGGCCTTCAAGGCGAAGGCCTGCAGGACGGGTCTGTGTGTCTGGTGCGGAGAACCACTCCTTCCAGGTGTGAGGTTGGGCCGTGACACCAGCTGTCAGTTTGGGGATATATATTCCTTGGTTTCTTTCAAAAAAAAATGGGTGCTAGTAGCAGTCGCTTTGTGGCTTGGTAAACTAATTTGTGGATGGTTTTTAAACATTCAAAGCCAGTAGCCTTGTTATTAACACAGATATTTTGAGTGTGATGTGGCTCGTGGATTTTGTTTCCTCCTTCCCATCTGAGGATTCCAGAGCCTTCTGTTCTTCCCTGGACCTCTCTTGCCTCTTCCAGGGCAGCCCGGGCTGGCCCAGTGCGGGCCAGTCTGCGTTCTGAAGTCATTTCTTCCGCCTCATCCCCTCCCCTTGGTCTCATTAGCTCCTCCACATACTTCTTTTCCTTTTTCCTTCCCTCCTTCATTCATCATCAAGCATTTAGCTAAGTCTGGGCCATGTGCTAAGATCTGAGGACAAGAAGTGGCCCTATCATCAGGGAAGCCCACGATCTCTTGTTTTGTGTGGACTTGTCTTTCTCCAGGGCCCTGCGGCTCGGTGACCTTGGCCTTCACACATGGGCACCCTGTGCAGTTTTGGTTTGCCGCGATACTGTCTGTTGCGCTGACAGCTCTCTGTCCATTCATTCACTCCTTCATCCTATTACTCGGCAGACACTTGGGGCGAGCCAGGCGTTGTGTGGGTGCGTACAGGACAGGCACTCCCCACGTCCCCTCTGTTCTCCACGTGGACAGGGGGATGTTCAGACCCTCCTGGAGAAGAACAACTTTGCACCCTTCCGCATTTAACCTACGGGGAGCCTGTACTCGTCATACAAACTACTGCCACGTGGCATTTCCCCAAGGACGGAAAAGCCAGACCCTCACAGCTCACATCCAACTCGTATTTCAGAGATTTCCTTTCCCCTCGCTTTACAAAGAGGAAGAATGAAACCCAAGGATGGCCACTGAGAGCCATGAAGTGAGTGGTGATTTACAAGCTGGGCTGGAGCTGAAGGTCCAGGCCCCTGTTCCAGTGTTAACAGGGCTCCGCCTCTGGGCGAAATCGAGATTTGGATGAAGTCTGGAATATCTGAAGGGGCGCTTCGGCGTGGCGCTCTGCGGTTTCAGTTTAGTTTGGTTGGGTTTCTGTTTTGGTGTTTAGGTTATAAGGGGGTTTGCCTGGCTTTAATCAGAGTGAGCCGCTCCGGGTTATTCTTGAGCACATCCATGGTTCCCTTCCTGAGAGCAGGTGAGCCTCTCCTACCTGCCTCTGCCTGGGAGACATGGGTGCTGCTTCGTTTTGTTGTGAAAACCTGACGGTTTAAAAACATAGTCTCTAAGACAAAAGTGAGCTGGTTGCCGTGACAGCCTGAACCACAGAGACGGCTGTGCTGAGGGTCTGCCACGGGACCCCTCTGGGCTCCTTTCTACTCCAGCCGACGCCTGTTGGCCGGGATAGGGTTGCGTTTCTGCGGGAGGAGACACTTATCCCCACGGTGGGGCTGATTAACGCCTAAAGCAAACAGAAGCTGTGTACACATTCAGGAACCAGGGGTTTGCTTCTACTCCCTTTGTGAAAACCAGTCCATTCCTAGATTAGGGGATGGGTGCATAGAGATCTTGGCAGAGCCAAAGTCCCTTCTTGGAAATACAAGCCATAAAATTCAAAGGACGTCAAAGACCTCGGCTTGTTTAAGTGATTTTGCTTCCTGCTGTGAGTGGCCTTGACAAGGAGCGTTTAAACAGGCTCCTGCAGACCTGCTGGGGATGATGTAGGTAGGGGAAGCACTGGACAGATGCTAGGTGGGGGACAGACCAGCAGCACGCAGCCTTAGCCAGCGTGCAGTCTCGTTCCCACATCCTCCCCACCCCGACAAGAGCCACTGCCTTTTCTTCTTCCAGGTTTATTGAGGTATTTAATGTACAGTACTGGAAGTTTACTGACATACAGTAAAGTTCGCCCACTTGAAGTATATGGGTCAATGAATTTGGACAAATTTATGCAGTCTTGTAACCACCACCAAAATCAACACATTTCCATCACTCCCAGAAATGCCTTCAGGCGTCTTTGATGTCGATCCCCTCCTCCCAGCCCCAGCGCCAGGCAGACACTGATGGATTTTGTGACTCTGGAGTTCTGCCTTTTCCAGAACGTCCTAAAAGTGGAGTCACACTGATGCAGCCTTCAAGTCTGGCTTCCTTCACTCAGCTTGATGCCTCTAAGTCACCGCGTTGTGTGTCAGTAGTTGGTTCCCTCGCATCTCCGTCTCCAAGCTGTCTTCCGTCCGTTGCCTGGGGGCACCCACTGCTTCCTTGCTTTTAAAACGAGTTGTTTGTCCCCAGAGTCCCCAGCCCAGGCTCTCCAGCTTGTTTGTAAGACTACTTCCACCTGTTGTGCCCACGAGTGGTTCTTGGGGCTCACACTTGCTTATGGGGTTCATTTTAGGTTTCTGACGATGCAAAAAGTGGCCAGGGGTCGGGACAGGATCTGGCAGGGTCTCCGCTACACCCTGAAGCTTGTATCTCAGCTGGCAGATCCACTAGCTCCCGGGGACCCTCCCCTCCCTTCAACCCGCACAGTCCCAGCCATCTGTTGAGCGTTAGAGGGTGAAGATGGAGGCAGCGTGGATGAGACGGCAGGGGGCTCACCAACCTTTCCTGGGTCTCTGCTGTTAACACTGTTCAGGCTCTCGGTGTGATCCCCAGGGTCGTGACCCCTCCAAGCCATATCTTGATTGTGCCCTGCTCAGTGAAAGGTGAACCCCGGAAAGCAACCAGGCACCTCTCCTAGCAAATGGAAGGCATTCCTGGGTCCAGGCCGGGTGAGGGTGTGGGTCATGGAGCTCAGGTCTCAGGGTCCCATGTTGCTAGGATGCTTCTGGGTTGAATTTTCCCCTTCATCCCCCCGGAGCACTCTGTCTGGCCTTTCCTGAAGGTGAGGGACCCAACTCTTTCCTGATTTGGGTGAGAATAAGCAGGGGACAGAGCCCATGTTCCGTCTCCCCTGAGCCTCCAGATGCTGGGGCGTGGCTGCGTGGAGCCCTGGTCGGGAGGCACCTCTGAGGGAGAGGGGTTGTGACACCCTTGCACCTCTGAATGCTGTTCAGGGGAACGGACCCTTTGGTGTCTGAGGGAAGTTCCTAACGGGACTGCAGTGGGGGAGGCAGGCAGGCACCTGGGTGCTCTGATGCGGGCAGTGTGACATGGGGACGAGGAAGGGAAGGAGGTACCCGGGCAAGGGCACCGACTGGCCCCATTCTGCTGTCTCATTTGTCCTGTAACCTGAAGTTAAGCCACGTCCCCTCCTGGGACCTCTGTTCTCTGCCTAGTGGAGGTGCTCCGCACCCAGCGTCGCGAGCCGCAGCAGCCGGCTCTCGGGACCGTGGCCTCCGGGCAGCCAGGTGGACCCAGGGACTGTCATTCAAAGGGACACCAGCCATCCTTGGTGACAGGGGCCCCACAGCTGCATCTCTGCCCTTCCCTTAGGAAGGAGATGATGGGGGTGGGGGGCAGCCCTTTCACAGACGCGAGCACATCAGCAAACCCCATGACAAACCCCACGAACGTGGGATTTTCTAACAGACTTGCTTGTTTGCTGTTTTCTGTAACTTTTGCTAAATACTTTATACATTTTTAATGTTAAAATGCTGCGTCTCCTGCCAGCAATCCTCATCCCGGTATGAATGTGTTTACTCCACATTGTATATCCTTCCATCCCCGGCTGCCTAGATCAGTAAATAAAATCGATGTGCTATAATTTATAAGTAACACTGTTGAAACTCTGATCCCTATGGAGGCTGTAATCCGCCCTTCCCACCCTCTCCCCACCCCCACCCCCACCCCTGTAATAGCATTTGTGTGTATTGATGCTGACAAATTAAATGTTTAAAAGAGTTTAAATTTTGAAGGCATTTGCTATATATAATTGTTCTGCATTATGATAGAGCATTTTCAGGAAGTTAAATGCTCTCATTTTTTTCCCCTTTGGCTTTGTGTGTACACTTGAGATGCTTAGCTTCATCCCATGTAAAATAAACTGTCCAGAGACACTGAGTCGTCCCGCTGGGCGACCCTCCTTCCTGGAGGACTGCCACACTCCCTTCTGTACGAATGGGCTCAGCGTTGCTCCCAGACTCCCGGGCTGCGTGATTTTATTTTTACCCCTGATGACTTAGCAGGGGAATAGAGGACACCTGGGCATTGACCCCCAGCGGGGTATCACGTTGCCAAAACCACACCCCTGGCCCTGGCCCCAGTCCCCTCCCCTGTGGACAGAAGGTTTCCTGCCTGTTGTTTCTTTTCCCATCCATCTGTCCATCCATTCATCCACCCATGCATCCGTCTGTCCGCCTATCCATCCATGCAGTAATTACAGACCACCACGGTGAGCCAGACACTGCTCTAGGTACTGGGAACACATCCGTGGTTAAAACAGATCAAGAACCTTGACCTCATAGAACTTCCTTTCTAGCAGTAAGAGACAGACTCACGGAATTGTGTAGTGTAGATGTAGAAGATGCTGGGTGTTACAGAGACAGACAGGGCGGAGTGAGGGGGATCGGTGGTCTCGGGTGAGAGAGGGTTAGCTGCAGCATGAGGTGGGGTGACTGGGGTGGCCTCATTGCGCAGGTGGCATTTGATCCAAGACGGGATTCCTGGGAGGAAGCCCAGCAGGCAGCTGGGGGAAGAATGTTCCAGGCAGAGGAGGTGGCCTGGTTAAAGGCCAGAGGCACCTACTTGTTGGAGACCAGTGTGGCTAGAGCAGAGGGGTGGGGGCGGGGCAGCTTCTCCAGGGCCTCTCGGGCCATCGAAGGCCTTTGACTTTCACTTGGGGGGGGTCGGAGCCGAGAGGCGCACGGCCTGACGTCCTTGCTGTTGGGCTCGCTGTACGTCCAGGGGACGGTGCCAGCAGGGGTGGTGACGTGGAGGCAGGGACAATGGTCGGGTTCTGGATGTGCTTTGAAGGTGGAGCCGACACGATCTCTAGGCAGATTAGAGTGGGGTGTGACAGAGAGGCACTGGGGTGGCTCCGAGGACTTCAGTCCAAGCAACCGAAAGGAGGGACTGCTATTTACCGGGATGGGGACAGCCATGGGAGGAGGGTTCTTCCCCCTCCTCTGCCTCCCACCCACCCTCTCCAAGCCCCTTTTCCCCCCCGAGGGCAGACTTGTGGGCAGGCTCTGGCTCCAGGCCGGCGTGGAAGGGCTCTCTGTCCTTCAGCTCCTAACAGGGGCGGGAAGAGGCATGGGGTGGTGGCTGGGGGACTCTTGGCTTGGGACGCAACAGGGCCAGCCTCTGGGAAGAGCCCGCTTCTTTCCGTCATGGTGGGACCCAGATGGGGAGTCACCAGCTGAGATTCACTGGCCAGAGCTGAGGCCTTCTTCCCAGTGGTCTCTGGGGTTTGGGGAGAGTTTATGGCCCCAGTTCAGACTTAACAAATCCATTCACAATACATCATCTCCAACAACTTGTTTGGCTAAGGGGAATAAACTCTCCCTCTGATAGAAGATGTTTACGCAGGTTTTCAAACAAACCTCCAGGTCATGACCTCTCTCTCAGCAGCATCAACACAGCTGCCAGTGGTCCCCCCGCGCCGGGCCCTTCGCAGGCACGGCAGGCAGCCGGGAGGAGTGGATGTACCTGGTCTGGCTCCTCCTCCTCGCCCTCAGGGAGGACAGAAGGGACTGAAGGGCGTCGGCCGCCTTCTGTGTGAACCCGGGGCCCTGTCTCCTTGCCCGTGGCCTCCTCTGTTGTCACAGCAACCCAGCCGCTCACCTCCGGAAACGCATCTTCTCACCCCTTCTGCTCAGGCCTCCTTGGGAAGGGAGGCGACTGTAACTCGTGAAAACAGCTCTGAGCAGGGAGGCTCGCCTCCCGGCTTTGTCATTTAGCAACCGTGTGACATAGGCAGGCAACATCCTTTTGCAGCTTGGTTTCTTCCTGCAACGCTGGCCTCGCCTCACCTACAGGCTCGGTGTGGACACCCAGGAGGCGCTTCTAATCGCCTGCCGGGCCAGGTTTGGCGGCCTCTGGCCTCACTGGCATGGCCTGCGTCTTGCTTGTGCGTTTGTTTTTGAGTCCAGTCAGCAACTGTCCTGGTTCTAACCACTCTTGAGAACCAATGCCTTGCTGTGGGTAGTGAAAAGCTAGAGAAAGAGAAAGGGTTTCTTTTAAGAAATGATATGCTCTCACAAACTGGTGGGGAAAAACACTAAGTACACACACTCACACATGCCCACAACATTAAGGCTTCCTGAGAAGGACTCTGGCCTCGCAGTGGCTGGGGTGGGTGGGAGGGATGGGTCAGCACATCGGTGCCTGAGCGTCTCAGTCCTTCCTGAGTGACGTCGCGGGGAGGGGTGGCAGGTGGCTTTCTCTCAGCAACAGGGACCTGCTTTCCCCTGCTGCTAGACTGTTATGAAATAGAATACAAACCCCAATTCTCCTGCCTAGACATTGCGGGCTTTAATTTTGTAGTTACCGCCCCTGGACAAAGCGGAGCCATCTTTCCTATCCAAGATGGTGGTTCTGGGGTCCCAGGCGTTATGCTTAGCCACGCCAGGACGCACCAACCTTTCCTCTGGGTGGTGCGATTTAAGGTACCTATTCATGAGGGTTCTCCCTGTGGCCTGAGCTGACTGAGGGGTGGAAGCCTTCCCTGGCTGAGCCCTGCTCTCCTATTTACCCATTCATTCACTTGACAGCATGGACTGTTGTCTGCCAGCTCCTGGCACCAGGCTTGGTTGCAAACTGACGACCTGCAGGCTGGAACAGCCACAGAGAAGCTGTATTTGGCCCACACCAGGTTTTTGAAAATTTTGAAATGGCTCTCAACATTTAAAAGTTTGGCAATTGCATCTAGCAGTTGGTTTCCCTTGGATTATCAAAAAGAAATCGAGTAACACTGGGCCATCGTCCCTTATGACCACATTCATATGGAATTGAACATTGGCCGTCCCCTGCATGTACGGCACAGGCCTCACCACTCCCTACGGCCTCCCCGACCCACCTGCTTCACTTGCACACCCTGCCTGCGGGCCCCTGGAGACAGCTGAGTCCCTGTGGTAGGCGAAGAATGACAACGGCCAGTAGATACTGAGCTCTCACTCCGTGCCGGGCTCAGTTCTAAGTGTGCTGCACATGTTGGCTCATTTCAGCCCCACGGTAACAATGAGGTAGACACCACTGTTACTGCCGTCCGCTCGGGGGATAGTCACTGAGGGCCCAAAGCTGCCAGGCACCAGTCTGGGCAATGGAGACGCCGTGGAGAACAAAGCAGACAGAACCCCAGCCTCCACGGGGCTCTCGTTCTGCCAAGCACAGACAACACCAAGAATAAACAGTCAGTCAGGTGTACTCGTGAGGGAGAACCACCGAGCAGGAGAAAGTTGGGGGCGTGCCGATGCTTGGGGGTAGGGGTGCTATGGTAAATAGAGTGCTCAGTATAGGCGCTGCTAAGAAGGTGACATTTAAGGGAAGCTGTGAGAGATTAGAAGCGCATTCTCGGCAGAGACAGGTTAAGAAACGTGCCTGGGGTCACACAGCTAGTACCTGCAAAGCTGGGATTTGAACCAAAGCTGGTTCCAGAGCGTGGCTCCTAATTACTGCATTACAGGGCCATCTCTGCCTCTGAGGTCCTCAGAGTAAGGGCAGATGGCAGCCAGGGAGCATCGGTGCTGCCAGAGAGCCAGAGGCAGAGGTGGGCTGGGGCAGGGATGGACCAGGGGCAGCAGGAAAGGCCTCGGCCGGAGGCTTCCACTCTGAAGATTCTACCCCTTGCCCAGTCCTGCCAGGAGGCCGAGGTGGATTGACCTCCCGCTGTCAGCTCTTTATTTTAATCTCAGGGGGCGTCTAGGAGCTTGTCTCCCGCCTCCAGCTCCAGGCCCCTCCTCCCTCCAAGTGCTGGGGTGAACCCGCCACAAATCCGCCTAATCCACCAGCCTCTCAGGGCCTGAGCGTCCCCAGTGGCACCCAGCCCGGCAGCCGGGAGACTCGGTCACTCCCACCCGCCCGCCCGCCCGCCCAGCAGCGACTGCCCGGCCGGGCCCAGGCCGCCTCACCCATGGGGAACAGCAAGAGCGGGGCGCTGTCCAAGGAGATCCTGGAGGAGCTGCAGCTGAACACCAAGTTCACGGAGGAGGAGCTGAGTACCTGGTACCAGTCCTTCCGGAAGGAGTGTCCCAGCGGCCGCATCACCCGGCAGGAGTTCCAGAGCATCTACTCCAAGTTCTTCCCCGAGGCCGACCCCAAGGCCTACGCCCAGCATGTGTTCCGCAGCTTCGATGCCAACAGCGATGGCACCCTGGACTTCAAGGAGTACGTCATCGCCCTGCACATGACCACCGCGGGCAAGACCAACCAGAAGCTGGAGTGGGCCTTCTCCCTCTACGACGTGGACGGCAATGGCACCATCAGCAAGAGCGAAGTGCTGGAGATCGTCACGGTCAGTGCTGGCCTCTGGGCTTCCAGCTCTGGGGGCCGGGGTCACCACTGGGGGGCGGGGCTGCAGCGGGGTGGGGCCCAGGCTTTGTGACTCGGTGGCCCTGAGAGCGTGGTGGGGGGGGTCCGATGTTAATGAGGGGCACTTACCCATGGCTTCGTTTTCTTCCTACAGAAGAATCGGGGCATCTCC